TATATATATATATATATATATATATATTAGTATATATATATTTTTCAATTGAATTTTTCAACTAAAATCCAAATTTCCAACCGATATCCGTTGAAATTTTTTTCCAACCGAAATTCGTTGGAGTTCCCTTGAAAATTTTCAACCGACATCCATTGTAAATTTTTAACCCGATTTTTCAATTGAATACGTTGGAAATTCCGTTAAAAATTTCCAACGTGCATTTTCAAATGGAAATCCGTTGGAAATTTCAACGGAATTTCAACGGAAATCGTCGTTGAAACGCCGTTGAAAATCCGTTGAAAAATTTCAAGCGGACAAATCCATTGGGAAATCCGTTGGCAATTGGTATTTTTTATAGTATAATGAATTTTGATTTTATTTGGGAGATTTTCAAAAGTTTGGTATTTATGTGGAAATTTAAAAACATTCATGTATTTATATGGAAGTTTTATAATTCAGATATTTATTTGAGAATTTTATAAAAATCTAGATATTTATATACTTGATTTTTCCTATATATATATTGGTAATTTGGTATTCTGAACTGAAATCTAAAATAATACCGGGATCGGAAGCAAATCATGTGATTGGAATTACGCTCTCCTGTCTAATTTGAGGTTCGAACTCGGGATGTAATAAATGCTTTGCACTCTCAATTTATCGGTTGAGCTAACTAAGTTGAAGTTATATTTGGTCCAAGACGTGCAAAACATTTGGTTAAGTCGGTCACTAAGGTTCGATACTTTGGTGAACCTTTAACAAAAAAGTTATATGTGTATGTATTTATACACATAGAACCAACCTACTTCGTATCCCCATCTAGTGGAGGTGGTAGGGAAGGGAATATATTAAACCACCTTACCTCTACATTTTCAGACTCCATGGTAAATGATTTTACCGCTAAACCAAGTTGGCCCTTCGTATTTTTTATACACATAAAACTAAGAAATTTTATGATACAAATCAAAACCACGATGACTTTCTGTTTCAATCCCGAAGAATTTAAGGGCTTAATTACTGCCTAACAAAATCTAAAATTACATATATTGGGATCATTCCATCAGCAATAATTTTGGGTCAAAACCCATTTTGTTTTACAATACTCTGTATATGATCCAGTGGTTCATCTAATTACACATTTGATATATATATACACACACATACACACACGGAAAAGTCAATGATTTGTGTTAAAAAAAAAAGTCAATGATTTGGGTAATTAGGGTCGGGAAAAAAACTGCATTTATTACAAAACAATAGATAATAACAAAAATCTTGGATCCAACACCTCTTTGCTAGAGTTGACTTTGGCCTCAATGTGATCACCAAAAGACCAGAAACCCATCATTAATCTATTAATAAGAATATCAAAAAAACAATAAGAACACAAACCCAACATCCCAAGATTCAGATTCAATCGAGTTCCAAAGTTGTCTGCAAATCAAAACCCTAGAGATCAAAACATGGTGAGACAGAGAAGAAGAGAGAAAGAAGAAGAAGAAGAAGAAAGGCAAGAGGATGGAGAAGAAGTGAAAGCGGTGGAGCCAACGAGGAGGATAAGCAGAAGGAATATGCAGTCTCTGGTCATAGGACTCATCGGCGCGGCGTTGACTATCGGCGCTTACTCTCAGACGGTCGTTTCTCCGACGAAATGCATCGGCGCCGGTCTCTTCGTCCTCTTCTTCGGCTTGCTTGTCAGTGAAGGTTTTATATCTCCCTAATGCTTCTATATATCTCATCTATATTTACATGTTTATGCAAAACATAAATATATATATATATATATATATATATATATATATATATATATTTATGTTTTT